TCATCCTCCTCGCCGGATGTCCATGGCCTTCGGTGGGCGAGCGCAGAGGGACCTTACAGGGCCTAGAATCAGGTATCGAAGCTTCATACTGTCTTGCGTGCGGCCAAACTCAGAGGGATGCATTTGTGTCTTCTTGTTAGGCGAGAGGCCTGGGTTGATCCAGTCGATTTTCTTGGCGGGTAGTGTTCATGGGCTGGAGTGAAATCGACCCTCGATAGTTATGGATGCCGAAAGGGGTCCAACGCTAGATATACAGCTACCTACGCCTACAACCTCGAGGTCCACATTATCAACTCTCTACACTACCGCGATAAGCTGGTATACAAACTCAGACCCGTTATGTCATCCCGTTATCCTTAGCTCGGGTACCTTGGAATAGCTTGGTGGATATGGGGGTTGTGAGCTCGCTCAACGAGAAACTACTGCTCGAAGTAGCTAGACAGCAGAGTCATTTGATCTCATCTCATTCTCCTTCCCCATCCCCATCTCAGGATCCCCAGGCCAACAAGCCCACCTTGGCTCCGTTCAGAGCCTTGGTCTCATCATCCATCTCTAACTGCTCCATCATTAGTCCTGTGCACTAGGTCCACATGGAAGCAATTGGCCCTGCTGGTTGGAGGGTGCGCCAGGGTGAATGAGGCACTGGGTGGAGGATAAGTTGACGCTACGAAGCAAGAGGTGGGCCAAAGGCGGGCTGACTGTTATCGAGGCCCTCGATTTACCCAAGGAGGAACTCTCCCGAAAAGGCCGGTTCTCTCCGCTAATGCGTTAGGCCACGCTATGTCAATTCAGAAAACCGCTCATTGCCATGGAGCAGCGCACTAAAGTCACGCACTGAATCGGGCACTGGCGGACATGAGCCCACGGCCGTTCGGCATGTTGCAGCTGGCAATGGAGCTGGCAAAGGCCGTCAAGGTGAGTGGAGATTTTTGTCATTTGTGCTCGAGGTTATACAACACAGGGTTCATTCATTTCCACATTCAACTCAAACGCCTATCCATGCCAACCTCGCTTTTGTTCAGAACAAAGGAGAAAAAGAGTTGTGCTTCCAGTTAAGTGATGAAGATGGTTTGCGTTGTGGTATTTTACAAGTTGCTCACTGCGACAGGGTGCTTGGTCACCCTGACGACAGCCGATATTTTCCTTTCTTCCATCGTTACACACATGCCTGAAGGCCATGTAATGAAGCCCCTCGCGTAGACGGTTTTATACCCCGGTCTATATCCATCCCCAAGTCTATAACCGTCTATTACTCTATGGTGGTTTTCTCATAGGACGCGCGGTGACCCAGCGTCGTACCCATGACACAGCGGATGGATCTCTCGATTCGCTCACTTCACATGCTCTAGGACGTAGCGTGAATCCCGGTCGCCATAATTGTGGATATTAAATTGTTTAGGTCTGCGGGGCTGTTAGCCTGGATCCAAGTGAATCCAGGATTGTATGAGGGAAATACGTACGAACTTGGCCATGAGGGCAACCATGAGATCGAAAAGACCAATGGCCTCGACGAAGGCGAAACCCAGAATGGCGTATGAGAAGAGCTGGCCACGGAGAGCGGGGTTGCGGGCAACACCGTTCAGGAGAGCAGCGAAGACGAGACCGATACCGATACCAGCACCAGTTAGACCAATGGCGGCGGAACCCATACCCAAGTTCTTGGAGACCTCAACCATAGCCTGGGCGATCTCGGAGGAGTAGGCACGGCGCTGGAAAGCCTGGCGGGTGTTGGCGCTCAGGATCTTGGAGACCTGCTGGCGCTGGAAAGCCTTGAGGGGAGTGGCATTGCCTGCGAGTCAACATCGTTAGAGCTCAGCTCAATTTCGATTGGAACCCAATTGGCATTTCACCAAGCTCGGTCGTGGCCAATTGGACTACTTTCTCGAGGAAACCTACTGGTGATGGTGCGCTTAGCGGCAGTGTTGGCGAAAGAAGCACGAACAGCAGGGCGAGCGACCTTGGAGCCCATAGAGGCAACGGCGCGGGTGGCAACAATGCGAGCGGAGGCCATTGTGATGGATGTGATGTGGTTGGTGATGGAGAGGAGAGGTATCGTGGAATGAAAGGACAGGCAGGTGAGCTGATGGAAGAAAGATAAGAGCTTGAGGTAGAAGAGAAGAAGCTTGCTGACGGTGCGGTGGAAAGGAAGAAAACTTTGACGGGGCTCTAGGGAAACGACAGAATAGTTGTTCCGGGGCTGGGCATGGACCACCAGCTGGTATAAGCACCGTGCCTGAGGAAATGAAGCTGAACTGTGGGTGAATGGAACCCACACAGCGTCGACCTCCACAATGGAGGTGGTGACAAACTTTTCCATTCAGTAGTTGTAGTGTAGCTATCGAAGGCTACCCAAAGGAGACAAGGCTGACAGGTTTCATTATTGATTTACAGGGATCGGTGATTACCGGGTGCGGCGTTTGGGGGGACTACGGGACCTCGTCATGCTTGGCTCGATTAGCTTTGCGGCCTTTTCGAGCCAATCTGTGACGAGAATATGATACGGTGTCCAACTAGTAGTACACTAAATACCACATTTCAACGTCGGGAACACTCACGCTTCGAAAGAGACAGCTTCACCCAAATCGGATGACTTGGATGGATAGACGATATCATACGCCGAAGCAATGCTGTTCGCTATTCAACAACATTAGGGCAGACGGTGAGAACGGGCGCGAGGTAGGTCGTGTAGTGTAGTGTACGTGGGCACGCAACATGAACCCCCCACCCACTAAAGTTAATCCTCCACTTGACCCTACCTACTTGGTATCTGGTGCGGTGCTCATGGATAGAAACATGGAGCCCAGCGTGTATCGAAGCGAGCTTATAGGCGACAATAGACGAGTGGAGCTTGTCTGACGCGAGCATGATTCAGACTGTGATAAGGAAACAACATAAAAGGAAGAGGCGTCCTCGTAACGACGCGCGTGTGGAAGAGCAGACGCTCTCCCGAGACCACAGCAGGAACAGCAGAAACCGCAGCGGACACCATAGCAGCCCGTCTACCGGTACCCGCGCATCGATACAATGCTTGTGTGAGTCGCATTTGACTACACCTATGACTCTGAATTATCAGGTTGCCGGCATTCCATCTGCGGCCTATTTCGGGAAACGACGCAACGGACCAATAGAAAGTCGACAATCGTTCTGGAATCGGGTAACCCTAGCCAGCAATCCTCTGCTTCACGGGCATTACCTACACTGCACTGCAGCACACCACGTACCTACTGCATCACATACGCCGCGCCATGCACCGCTGGGTGGTATGGGAGCAAGGTATGGGCGCAAGGAATAGTGACTGTACCCTTACAGGCTGCAGCTATACTTGTACTATACCAAGGTTATATACCAAGGTACTGACGGCTTGCGGCTTGCCGGAAGGGAGAGGAAAGGAAAGGAAAGGATCAAGCCACCCGTTTCCAGGAGATCGGAAAATTATTTGCATGTGGGTACCTCAGGCTTGTCCAGCTTACCGTTTTAGGAGAAATAGGAGAGAGACTTTCTCTTCGCCCCAGGTCGGAGGACACTCGGCGAGTCATGGGTATCTGAGCCTCAAATCCCTCACCTTTTCAAGAGCTGCGACCGATTGAAACCATTCTCACGGAATAAGCTTCTCTAGATAACGTATGCATGTTTTCACAGCAGAGGTAGGTTCAATCGTACTTATTGGCGAGGGAAATGGGTGGTAGCGTAGGATTGAGCAAGAGTCATGATATATGTTACGGGCGAGTGAGTGCGCTGTAAAAAATTTTTCTCGCAGCTGACGTGAAATGACGGTGAGATCTGCCGGAGTGTATGCAGCACCCGTCCAGGGGGCCGCGGGAAGCAGGTACCTTGCCTAGGTACCTAGGTAGGTACTTACCTATTGTACCTATCGTGCGCCGGGCACTATCTACCATGTAGGTACCCCTTAGTAGGGCCTGCTGCAGCCTGTATTACAGCCCGTAGGGAGCCCCTCCAAAGACCGTCCATCCAGTATACCTGGACTGCCCATTCACGGGTTACAGGCGATTGCGGATGTCCGTTTGATCTCGGCTTGGTGTACCTACTTAAGTACTGCTTTTTTCTCCACCCGCTAATCAAGAACCTTGGTTGAGAAACGTGCCAAACATATAAATTTGCCGAGGAACTTGGGCCAGATGAAGCGAGTAGTATAGCTTTACGCTGATAGCTCTTTTGGTCCAGTATCCTCGGGTCTGCTCGGGTACGTTAAAGCCCTCAAAGTCCCCATTGAATGCTACTACTACTTATGTACCTATGTAAATGTCCGCACTCCCGTAGGTAGTGTATACAAAGTTAATACAGACATGCAAAGACAGCACTGGCCCTCGAGCTTAGTACCTTACCTACCTGTTGATAACAACTCCCACAAGGCCCCGTCCTAGCCTTAGAGCTCAATACTATATAAAGTCGGACGAGTAGTGTACCTACATACAGAGGACCTTGGTAGGTAGTGAGATCGCCAGTGGGAGCACTGTTGTTTATGCAGGGACCTTGTTATCTTGCATGCCTTTTTAACGCCCCTTAATTAAGCTTCGGAGTAAAGCCACAACCATAACTAAAGCTACCTCTCAGGTATCTATCTAATCTAATCTACACCTAGGCATGCAGTGGCGTTAAATAGAAAGGGAAATGATTACCTACCAAGGCACACTGCATATTGTGGCTGCACGAGTTTACTGTGTAATCTACTCCATGCCCCTATGATGAATATAGCTATTGAAGAGCCCCCGTCGTAGGTTAGGTATCTCTCCAGCACACTCATCGAGATAAACGGTGGAACCAACCATAACACATTGGCCACAGTCACATCTCCCTCCATATAAGGTTTAGGTTGGTTTTGAGGTTACTAGTAGTAGGCTTTAGTTTTAGATTTAACTATCTAAATATATACCTAGAGGTAGCTATATCAGCTTATGTGTACTCATATAAGTAGGTTCCTCCTCCACCAAAAAGGAAACCACTCTAGATATTAGACAACTTTTCGTTGTCAAAGATCGTACCGATCAGGACGGGACTCGAACCCGCAATCTTTGACATATCCAAAGCCGGAAATCAATGCCTTAGCCATTAGGCCACCCGACCGCGTGTCATTTATACATGACGGCCTGTCATTGGATGGTGAGAGCGGTCTCTACGACCAATTTTATCGTTGGCTACGCCCAGGTCGGAGCCCCCTGAAATTATAGGGACGAATGAACTCAGAGATAAGCCGAAGAAACTGTTTTCCAAGGGAAGAGATCAGTCGAACTCGAATTATAAACACAATTGTTTAACTGTATTAACTATATGGTCTAGGAGATTATGTGCAGTGAGTGGAGTTGGTACGGTGGGTGTGGCTTGGAGATCAAATCAGCCACAGCAAAGTAAACGAAAGCACGTATCAACATTCAAGTCTCGCCTCTATACACAACTACATACCGTTCTCATTCAGTAACCATAATGGATTGGGCCATACTTCACTACACTTAATCAACCCAAAATCAACATTTTCGGTTGTGTAAAGTCTCAGAGAATGCTGATATGCGGCGGGGCGGGCGCCGCCTAAAGGAGGCGAAAGGCGGAATAAAGATGTTGGCAGATTCGAAAGGAATGCTATTATATGATGTAAGAAAAACCCAGTGATGTCGAAACTTGGGACATGAGTACATACGACGCTAAATCATCATCGGGGTAGACGCAGCATCGGAGTTGCTTACCTAGGTTAGGTAACTGTAAGACAACGACTACATTAGACGAGCCCGGGAGTGGGACACGGGGCAACTGACTGGGGCTACGTGACGCGGAACGGGAGCTGAGGCTCATACTAGAAAGACAAAAAGGGGGTCCGGGGAAGGGAAGCCGTCCTTTGTATATTGGAAGACTCGAGAGAATCCGCAACGAAGTGATGGCTAAAATCGCTGCTCTACCTAGGTACAATCTGCTAGGCCGGGTGACGATAGCAAGAGAATGAACTAGCTTTCCGACCGGTTACAAAGCTTCTATCAATGCACATCTCGCGCAGGGAGCCTAGCAGAAGAGTGATCTCAATCGCTAACGGACAGAAAGCATTGTGGCAGTATGAAAGGACAATTGAATATAACCGCGGTCCCCCTCCGCAATGCGGAAAGCCGAGTGATTCTCGAAACATCCTGGAGAGGGAGGATCCTAGGACTCGCTCCTCTAAGGTAGCTTTCCGAGACAACCATCTTTGTCCTCGTCTCTTGCCCCTGTATTTAAGGGGTTGTTGCCACCGCGGGATTACAACCAGCTTCGCTACCAGATATCGGAGTTCACTCGGGGTAGATCCCGATAGCGGCTGGGCCTTGTACTTAGAAAGCCCTATCGCTTACCCTCGCCTCTGGACACCAGTATCGAAGATGTCTTCATCTGTGCGGAATCCGGACGACCCAGAATCCCAAGTCTTGTTCCTCAACTTCCACGACCCGCCAAGCAACCCCAACGCTTGTAAACTCACGTCTGCCGCTCTAAATTCGGTGCTGGGAATGGTAGGATTAACGGGTGGCTTTATTAGATCGTTGGCGTTGGCGGAAAAAAGGGCAATCCTCTTGCTTGCGTCTTACGCCGTAGATTGGAGGGAATGCGGTGAGGAATACGACGATATCGTATTTTGTTTCGGCCGGGCACGGGGATACGATAAAGCAATCAGATCGGGCCTGCCCGAGTTACACGCTGACTCTGTCGAGTACGTCGAGCACATCCAAGCGGTAAGACAGGCTGGGCCGCCCACGGTAATATATACATCCCGGAAGAGACAGGCAGCTGACCGACTAGGTTCAGACAAGAATTAAGCCGAAAATTTCTCGGCTCCGTCAGAGCTCGTATCGCCTGAACCGTGGGATTTCTGCGGTGGCACCACCTGGTGTAGCGGTTCCTCAAGCAGCGGGACCGCCTAGAGCTACGACCTCTACCGCTATCTCGACCGACTCCCCCCCTCCACGTGGACACGCCTCGGCAGCTCCCACTACGGCTAACAATTCAACCCTGACAGAAGCCACCAATACTACCGTTACCGCTGCCACCAAAACTACCTCTACTCCTCTCCCCTTAGACGGACAAACTTTGCCTACTGCTGACGATCCCGGTGTTGACGGTGACGCGGCATCATCAAAAGACGGTCCATTGCCTAGCAGCACTTCTAAAGCCCCGGACCCGAATGTACCATCCGATGATAAAACTTCATCAGGACCCCCAGAGCCTACAAATACAGACATGTCTCCCAGCGGCTCACTCCATGATCTCCAAGCCTCGGCTAACGCCAGCGGTGGCACAGATCATACTACTCAACAAGATTCTAACGCGGCGGACGCTGAAGCTTCTAATAATGATGTCGAAGTAGCTGGCACCGACGCAGCTGACGTTGCGGGCGGCCAGGACACAACTACGGACGTTCCGGCTGAAGGCTCAAACAATGGCGACGGCGAAGGAGCTGACACGGGAACCTGGATGGGCACGCAGACGGCGGAGACAGTTTACGGCGAGTTTGACGACGATGGCGAAATTGATGCACCGCCGAGCAAGAAGCGCAGGGTTGAATAGGCCGCGTAGACATGCGAGGCGGAAAGATTCGATTCCCTTCATTCTCTCATGGGTGTTATCATTTATCGACACCGCAGGCTGTGTGGCATGTTAACAAACGTTCCTTGGTAGGGCTACGGTATTTTCGGGTCTTCACACCGGACGGCTGCTTCGGATGAAAGGAGATATTGGGTAATAATGGGGGTTACGAGCTCAAAGAAGAAGAACGAGGAAGATAGATGCGCAAGCAAAGGCTGGTAATGGGCACTAGGCGAGTTGGGAATATTATAGGATCGTCGAGAGGGAGGGGAGCTTTGAGCATGGGAACACATGATCGTTAATCATAATAGGTGGTAGCTCTACGGATCTGGGCTCGACGGGGCCTCGGGAGGATTTACTTGAGTTCGTGTAGCATTTCGTCAACGCAAGAATGATCAAGGACCGTGATGGGTCCTCCTACCTAGGTAGCTGTATATCATCATCGTAGATGGTGAGCTTAGTCATTGGCGCAAAGTTGCCTCGTCAAAAGAATATTGTGGCACCTAGGCATCACCCGGCCTAAAACAGTCCGTGCCATAATGATCTTGAACAGTAGAACCATTCAATTTCTTCGTACCGAGGCCGAGACACTACAAGAGCACCCGGCGTGTGTAGACGGAATAGATGTCTTGTGTAGCTTACGAGGTGCTTAGACTTCATTATACTTCTAATACCTTTGCCAGCAATGCGGTGTACGTAGCCGTACGACTTCCATGTTTCAAAACATCCTTGACCATATCTGCTTGTTTCAAGTACAATATTTGAGACGTATAACATAGCTCTCGATCTGAGAATGGATATCCCCGTTGGCCCTGACGAATTGAGCATCGCATGGATACCTGTCCCAACTCTTTCGTATCTCCTATTCGGCGCCATCATCTTCCTCGAATGCCTAGGTACGTCTTCAACATCACGCAACTTCCCGAAACTGCTTCCTAAATAGACCCTACTTTCCCTCGGCCCCCTAAATTGACCTCCTATCTACACTCCTAACACGCACCCTTACAGTCCATACCCAAAGCGGGAGAACTCGTCTAAATTACGCCGCGAATCCGCATCGACGACTTCGTGCGGCGGGCGCAGCGTGACACTCTGGCCATGGATCTCCGCCACTTGGCCATTCAGGGACGTGTCATTCATGAGTTTCTCCACACCAGCGATCAGGGTGCTAGGCGGGGTCACGACCATATTTCTGAAGAGCCCGTCCGTGCCGGATATATTCGTTTCTTCATCATATCAGTCAAGAGCAGCAACAAACACTTCGTTTCCGAGTGCATGATCCCAGCGCCGTGTTCCATCCACCATCTCTTGAATCTTATCGTTCTTGAATCCGTGATAATTAAGGGGTGAGGAGTGAGGCGGACGGAACAGAGAAAACAACTCACCAAGCACGGCGGGCGCGAGCGCGTTGATCCGGATCCCGATGTGCGGCTGCCCGTAGACGGGGCCGAGCGAGCGGACGAGGCCGACGATGGCGTGCTTCGAGGCCGCGTAGAGCGGCGCCGGCGAGAACGGGTACAGCCCTACGTTCGACGCCGTGCAGAGTATGGAGCCGCGGAGCCCTGTCCTCGCGTCTGGTGCGTTGCGCTGCATGTAGTGCAATGCCAATTTCACGGCTGTGAGGAATCCCTGTTAGTTACACAACTAGTCGAGCCACAAGTTCGACTTTGCGTTTCGGCTGAACGATCATCTTAACGTGGAGTATGCAGCCATCGTGGATTAGAAGGCGTACGATAGAAGAAAGTGAGATTTTGATATCGGTGTATTAGAGGCGATATAAATATGTAATAGGTGACGGAGGTTTTAACAAGCAGAGATCGTGAGTGATTGCAGGGAGTAGCCTGTAATAATAGAACTGAAGAAAAGAAAAAAAAGGGGGGGGGAGAGTGTGTTACAGAAAGAGAGAAGACGCATACAGTAAACATTACCAGTAAGATTCACATCAAGGACCTTCAGCCCCGGCTCATCCAGCTCATCCAACAGCCCTACCCCCTCCGCACCCTTCATCGGAGCCGGGGGCACGACCCAGCTCCGCCCGCCCTCAGCAACACCCGCGTTAGCAACGACGACATCGACGCGTCCAACCTCCTCATGCACAGCCCTAAACGCCGCCTTCTGCTGCGTCCACGACGCGATATCGCACTCCCGGAACCTCACGCCGCCGACACCGGCACCGTTGGTTTCGGCCCGCGCGGCCCGAGCGCCGAGCTCAGCCGCGACGGCCGGGCCGTTCGCGGCGTCGATGTCGAGGATCGTGACCGTGTCCCCCAGCGAGGCGAAGTAGCCGCTCATGATCTTCCCCAGGCCGCTTGCGCCTCCCGTGACGATTACACTGCGGGCCGTCATTTCTGGGGGGTGCCCTTACCGCTTGGAAACTAGTGGGCTAACAGGACTCCTGAGTGAGGCCGGAGAGTTCTGGGCCTAGGTAGGTATATGGTAAGAAGGCAGAGCGGAATAAATATACACAGAGCATAACCGGGCAAAAATATAAAAACACAGTCGCCGAGGTAGGCCTATAATAGATAGAA